TCTCTCTAGAGAAAAAAATAAATAAGAAAAAATAAATACTAAGAACCAATAAGAGAGAAAATAAATACCACAAAAGGGAAAAAACAAATACCAAAAAAAAATCAATACTAAAAATAAAAGTAATAAAAACAAGAAAAAATAAAAAAAAGGATAATATGAAGAACCAAAAATATACTAAAAAAATATCAACAAAACCAAAAGAAATACTAAAATTTAAATTATGGTAAAAAGAGAGAAATAAGAAAATAAATAAAGAATCAAAAAAAAATAGTACTAAAACAAAGGCACAAAGAAAAACTAAATGGTAAACAAAGTAGGAGACTAACTAAATAAATTCAATTTACTTAACAACTATGAACAACTTACTTTTAGATGTATTGGCTCTAGGTGCTATCCTGTCAAGTGTTATGGTTATTACTGCCAAAAACCCTGTTATTTCAGTACTGTTTTTAATTGCTGTATTTGTTAACGTAGCTGGTTACCTATGTCTATTAGGTGTAGCATATTTAGGACTTGTATATCTTATTGTATATGTAGGTGCTATTGCTATTTTATTCTTATTTGTTATTATGATGCTTAACTTGCGATTAGTAGAATTAGTTGATACAGGACAAGAATATACTAAAAACTTACCAATGGGAGCCTTTTTAGGTTCTTTATTTTTCTTTGAATTGTTATCAATTCTACCTGCTACATACAGTTCTCCTAACGGATCAGAAGGACCATTAGGTATACTACTAGGAATATTCAACTGGCTTAACACTGCTCTTTTAGGAATTTCTTCAGATGGAGAACAAATATCATTAGATTTTAGTAACGGACAAGAAGTACACGCGGCTTTTAATCCAGCTTTAACGGATAGTTCTTTAGCTACATTTACTCAAATTCAAAGTATTGGACAAGGATTATATACATATGCATCATTATGGTTAGTAATTGCAAGTGTTATATTCTTATTAGCTATGGCTGGTCCTATTATCTTATGTATGAACCCTAGTACATCTCAGGATTCTACAACTACTGTTTAATTCCACTTTTGCACTTATTAATGTCGTTTTGTTCCCCTTTGTTTTTCATGATTTTCTTTGTTCCCCTTTCTCTTTCTCTTTCTCGTATTTTGGTTTTTCTCTCTAATTTATTTTTGGTTCTTTTTGTATTTTCCTTTATTTTCTTCATCTTCTTATTTTTTTTCGGTATTTGTTTTTTTTCTCTCTAGAGAAAAAAATAAATAAGAAAAATAAATACTAAGAAAATAAAACAAAATAAGAAAGGAACCAATAACAAAGTACGAAAGTATTTATTTCTAACAAAGTAAGAGAAAAGGAAACAGAGGAAACAAAATGCCAAAAAATACTAAAAAAGGAAATAAGAAAGAAAATACTAAAAAATAAATAATAAAGAAAGTATAAAGAGATAAGAGAAAAAGAATAAAAACTAGAAATGTAAATAACACAACTTATAGGGTTAAGGTGGTAGTATGGTACTGCACACGGACTGCAAATCTGTCGATATAAGGGTTCGATTCCCTCTTGACCCTTTTATGTTTTCATTTTTGTACATAGTTTATATTTTGATTCTACTATTGTTTTTGCTATTTATTTATTATTTTTTTGTTTTTGCTTTATTATTTATTTGATTTTATTCCTTGTATTTTCCTACATTTTATTTTTGGTTTTATTTTGGCTCCTTTTATTTTGTTTTGTTTAGTAATACTAAAAATAAAAGTAGAGAAGAATAAATACCAAAAGGAAAGAAAGAAAAAGTAGAGAAAAATAAATAAGAAAAGGAAAATGCTAAAAAAAATAAGTAAAGAGAAAACAAGAACTAATACTAAAGGAAACAAATGAACCCAAAACCAATAAAAGTAAAAGGAATGTGGTGTTAATGGTAGCATGCAGATCTCCAAAGTCTCGCGGAGCTTGTTCGAGTCAAGCCATTCCTGATACTAATTTATAATTACTGACACTTTGTTTTTCTTTTTCTTTTCTTATTGGTTCTTAGTATTTATTTTTTCTTATTTATTTTTTTCTCTAGAGAGAAAAAAAACAAAAGTAAATAAGAGAGAAAATAAATAAGAAAAGGAAAGAAAAAACAAAAATAATAAAGAGAAAAACAAATAAAATAAAAGTAGTGAAAAAAAAGAGTGGAGAAACCAAAAATACTAAACAAACAAATATAAAGAGTAAAAAAAACCAAAATAGGGATAAAACAAAGTATTTTATTAACCGATTGAGCAAATTACGCAGAAAATACAAGTAATGGGAATTGAACCCATACGATCTATAATCATGGTTGCTTAAGAACCACCTGTCTACCAATTCCAGCATACTTGCCCTTTCCCTTTCATATAATAAAGATTATTTAAAATAAAGTGGGAAGCCTTATATATATTTTATATACTCTTATATTCCTTCGACTTTCGTATTTTCCTTTCTTATTTCGTTTTATTTCTTCATATTTTTAGTATTGGTTCTTACTTTCACTTTATAATTTTGGTATTTCTTAGTTTTCTTTATTATTTAGTTTTCTCTTTCTCCGTTCGTATTTATTTTTTTTTTAGTGTTTTTGTTTTTCTCTTTACTTTTCTTTTTAGTATTGATCCCTTTTGGTATTTATTTTTAGTATTTTTGTTTTTCTTTCCTTTTTTTTTCTTATTTGTTTTTCTCTTTTTCCTTTTCTCTTATTGGTTCTTAGTATTTATTTTTTTTCTCTCTTATTTGTTTTAAGAAATACCAAAAAAAAAATAAGAAGATGAAGAAAATAAAGGAAAATACAAAAAGGAACCAAAAACAAATACCAAAAAGGAACCAAAACGAAAAATAATAGATAAAAGGAAATAAAATAAAACCAAATATTAAAAAGAAAATGCATTTGTACCAATAAGAAGAACCAAAAAATACAAGGGATACCAAAATGGAAACTTTGTTCTCTGTCTTTATTTATTTATCTCCCTACTTATTTAGTTCTTCATCTTCGTTCGTATTTTCTTTCCTTTTCTCTTATTGGTTCTTCATCTCCTTATTTTTTTCTCTTATTTGTTTTTTTTCTCTAGAGAGAAAAAACAAATACCAAAAAAATACTAAGAAAAATAAAGGAAAATACAAAAAGGAACCAATAACAAAATACGAAAGTATTACTTTTTTTAATATTTTTGGTACAAATAAAATAATAACCAAAAATAAACGAAGAAAACCAAATTAGAAAAAAAAAATAACAATAATCATAAATAAATTCCAAAGTAGTTTAAATAGGTAGGGATAGGGAAGGGTAATATATAAAAACAGATGGGACTTTAGCATAAAGGTAATGCCAACCACTCATGATGGTTCATATGGGTGTTCGACTCATCCAAGTCCTAGGCATTTTGATATAAGTATACTTTACTAATACTCTTTTACCAATTATATCTATTTCTATTTTTTGGTATTCTTTTATTTCTTTGTTTCTTGTTCGTATTTATTTTGGTTTGTCGTATTTATTTTTTGGTTTTCTTTTTATTTCCTTTTCTTATTTGTTTTTTTTTTTTTTTTTCTCTCTACTAAAATTAAATACCAAAAGGGATCAATACTAAAAATAAAAGTAGAGAAAATTAAGTAAAAACGAAGGAAATAAAGATAAAACAAATAAAAACAAGAACCAATGCTAAAAAATAGGTAAGGGTATGACATAATGAATATAAGAAACATATGATTATTATACTAGATTTCCCACTTATACTTATAGAAATAAATGTATGCCCACCTTTTTTGTATTGTTCTTTTTATTTTAGTATTACTTTTAGTATTTTCTTTCTTTGTTTCTATTATATTTTATTGTTGGTGTTTTGTTCCTATTTTGCCTTTCCCTTTATTTTATTCACTTTCTCGTTTGGTTTTCTTTTGGTTCCTTTTGTATTTTCCTTTATTTTCTTAGAATTTTCTCTATTATTTATTTTTGTTTTTTTTTCTCTAGAGAAAAAAAAAAGAAATACCAAATAAAAATAAGAAGATGAAGAACCAATAAGACAAAAGGAAAGAAAGAAAAAGTAGAGAAAAAATAAATAAGAAGATGAAGAACCAATACCAGAAAGAACGAAAAATGAAGAAACAAAATAAGAAAACCAAAATACTAAAAATAAAATGCTAAAAAATAAATACGAACGTAAAATAAAATGTAGGGGGCAGGGAAGGGATAAATGACAGAGTGGTCGAATGTGTCATACTTGAAATATGATGTGCCTTCTCGGTACCATAGGTTCGAATCCTATTTTATCCGAAATATAAGAAAAGTAATTTAAATCTTAACTTTTTCTTTAACTTGGTCTTGGTTTTCCCTTTTGTTTTACTATTTTACCTTGTTGTTTTCTTTATTCGTTTTATTTCCTTTACCTTTCTTTTTCTTTCCTTTTGGTATTTATTTTTTTTGTTTTTTTTCTCTAGAGAAAAAAAAAAACAAAATAAGAAAAAGGAAATTAAAAGAAAACCAAAAACAAAATAAAAAGGAAAGAAAAGTAAAACCAAAAACCAACAAGAATTAATAAAACAGAAAAGATGAAAATCCATAAAGAGACAAAAGATATAGTGTTGAGATATTCCTTAAGTTTAATCACTTTATTTTATGGTTTATAAATGATAAAAAAGTCGGTCGATAAACTAAACCTTGTTTTGCTTTTATTTTATCTTCTTCATGGTTCTTGTTTTTCTTTGTTCGTATTTCGTTCCTTTTATTTCCTTTTATTTTGTTTTTCTCTACTTTTGTTTTGTTTTTTTTTCTCTAGAGAAAAAAAAAAGAAATAAACCAAAAAAATAAATACCACAAAAAAAAACCAAAAGGAAAAGTAATACCAAAAATAAGATGAAGAACCATAAATAACCAAAGCTAATAATAACTAAAAAGCAAAGTCTGACTCTAATAATGAGTATTTATATGCAATTATCACGATCACAATTCCAAGGACACCCATTCCACCTGGTAACACCATCTCCTTGGCCATTATTAACATCTTTTGCACTGTTAATTTTAACATTAGCTGCAGTTATGTATTTTAACGGATTTGCTAACGGAGGATTACTTCTGGCTATTGGATTCGTTAGTACAGTAGCAGCAATGACATTATGGTTCCGAGATGTAGTAGCTGAAGGAACACTATTAGGAAACCACACATTTGCTGTACAAAAAGGGCTTAACTTAGGTGTAGCACTATTCATTGTAAGTGAGGTATTCTTCTTCGTTTCAATTTTCTGGGCTTACTTCCACTCAGCATTAGCACCAACTGTAGAATTAGGTACAGCTTGGCCACCTGCAGGTATTGACCCTCTAAACCCATTCGAGATTCCTTTATTAAACACAATCTTACTTCTATCATCTGGAGCTAGTATTACATATGCACACCATTCGTTAATCGAGGGTAACCGACGAGGTACAATCTTAGGTATCATTGTTACAATTGTATTTGCTGTAATATTCACAGGTCTACAAGGATTTGAGTACTATGAAGCGCCTTTCACAATTACAGACGGAGCGTATGGATCTACATTCTTCTTTGCAACAGGATTCCACGGATTACACGTTATCATTGGAACATTATTCATTGCAGTAGGATTCTTCCGGATCTTATCATACCACTTAACAGATCACCACCACTTAGGATTCGAAGCTTCAATTCTATACTGGCACTTCGTTGACGTTGTTTGGTTATTCCTATATGTTAGTATCTACTGGTGGGGAAGCTAATTAACTAATGACTTCTCCTTTCTTGGTCTTTCCTTCTTTCTTCTTATTTTCTTTATTTTATTGTTATTACCTTTATTTTATTGTTCTAAGAAGATTTTATTTATTTTTTTGGTTCCTTTTGGTATTTTCCTTTATTTTCTTAGTATTTTTTTCTCTAGAGAAAAAATAAGGAGATGAAGAACCAATAAGAAAAGGAAATAAAAAAACAAAATACCAACCATAAAGAAGAGATAAAACTAAAAATAAAATCGGTTCTTTTTATTGTTTGGTCATTTTTAGTTACAAAGTAAGGAAAAAGAAGAAAGGAAAATACTAAAGTATTTATAAATAAATAAGGTAAATAAAACTTTGCTTTGTGTATTTCCTTTCTTTGGTATTCACTTGGCTTTCTTTTTGGTATTTTCCTTTATTTTTTTCATCTTCTTATTTTTTTTTGGTATTTGTTTTTTTCTCTCTAGAGAAAAAAATAAATAAGAAAAAATAAATACTAAGAACCAATAAGAAAAGAAAAAGAAAAGAAATAAAGGAACTAAGAAAACAAATAAGACCAAGAAAATTAAACAGGCATCAATTCTATCCCCTTTGTTTAAAATTTGTATCTCTCTTATATTATTACAAAAGGGGAAAAGAAGAAGGAGAAGGATAAGAAGAAGAAGACAAAATACAGCACATTAACTACTTCTTTTTATTCTCCTTATTTATAAATACAAAAAAAAACAGAAAAAAAAAAAAAAATAATAACAATATGAACTTTTTTTTGAGCTAAATAATCTTTTTTTTTAGTTTTTCACTTATTTGACAAAGTACTTAGAAGCGGAAAGAGAACTTGCAAATAATAAACCTACTGCGTAAACAATAATAAGTCGTAAATCTCCAATGTTGTCTAATGATAGACCTTCTGAAGGAACTAAAATAGGTACAAATAAGATTAATGTGATTGAAATTAATCCAATCATAATGTAAAGAGCATACTGGGTTACAACACCAGTATCTAATCGGGCAATTTGTTGACTACCTCCATATAAAGATTTACTCAATCCAAATGGACCTAGTAATTCAACAGCTCCTCGATCTAACACTTTAGATGTTACTAACCCTAATTGTAATGATTTACCAATAATATAGTGGTTAATTACTGCATCAAAGAACCATTTGGCATTAAAGAATGTATAAAGACGTTTTCCAACATTACTTAAAGCTAAATCTACTGTGAAGTTAGCTAACCGGTGGTACATTAATAATGCTAATGAAGCTCCACCAAGTGTACCAATTGCTGGTAATAATTTATAGAATGTCGGAATAGCAAATTCTGCTTCAACTAATGTAACATGTGATGGGTGTACAAATAGTGAAGTTGATAACATATCACTTCCCATACCTACAAAGCTATCTTTAGCAATATATCCAAAGAAAATAGACATTAGAGCTAAAATTACTAAAGGAATTACTACAATCATTGGTTGTTCGTGTGTGTGCTCATAATCAACTTTAGGAGCATTAGGTGTAGTTAAGAAAGTCATACTAATTAATCGGAATGAATAAAATGCAGTAATAATAGCTGTAATTGTTCCTAACCAATATACAATATGTCCGCTAGCCCAAATACTTGAACTATTTGCATATTGACCATATCCTAATTCTAAAATAAGATCTTTAGAGTAGAATCCAGTCATGAAAGGAATAGCCATTAAACTTAATGATCCAATTAAAATAATTGTGTATGTAAATGGTAATAAGTTAATTAAACCTCCAAGACGTCGCATATCTTGTTGATCAGCCATAGAGTGTAATACACCACCTGCAGCAAGGAATAGTACAGCTTTGAAGAAAGCGTGGTTAACTAAGTGGAATAATGCAACTGAGTATTGAGAAATTCCAACTGCCATAAACAGATATCCCATTTGTGAACATGTCGAATAAGCAATAACACGTTTAATATCGTTCTGTAATAAACCAGTTGTAGCAGCAAAGAAAGCAGTAATAGCTCCAACCCATGTAATAACAACAAGAGTAGTAGGTGCAAATTCAAGTAATGGTGATGATCGTAATAATAAGTAAACTCCAGCTGTAACTAGAGTAGCAGCGTGGATTAGAGCAGAAACAGGAGTAGGTCCCTCCATAGCATCAGGCAACCAAGTATGTAATCCTAATTGAGCAGATTTTCCCATAGCAGCAAATAAGAATAGTAATCCAATGATTGTTAATACTGTTTCGTTCATATATGGTGATAAACTGTAGACTGTTGCATAATCAAGGTTACCAAATGCCCAGAATGTTACAAAGAAGGCAACACTTAAGAAAGTATCACCTACACGGTTAACTACCATAGCTTTAATAGCTGATTTGTTAGCTTGAATTCGAGTGAACCAGAAGTTAATTAGTAAATATGAAGATACTCCAATACCCTCCCAACCTACGAATAAGATTAAGTAGTTGTCACCAGTAACTAATACTAGCATAAAGAATGTGAACATTGAAAGATATGCAAAGAATCGTTGGTTGTGTGGATCTTCAGACATATAGCTAATTGAATAAATGTGTACCATAGATGAAACCACTAAAACAGGAAGTAACATTGATACTGTTAAACTATCAAACATGAATGCCCAATCCACAGACATTAGTCCTGAATCAACCCAACTAGATAAGTGAATTGAAACAGGAGAACCACATAACGCAACTTCATAGAAAGCTACAATGGATAGAAGTGCAGCAGTACTCATACATACACTTGTAATAATTTGTGCACCAGTTACACCAAGTTTACGTCCAAGTAAACCTGCTGACATAGCACCTAACAGAGGTAAAGCTAGAATAGATAGATACATCTTTAACGTAAGCTAATTGAACCTCGAAGTCGATAGAATGCAACTAAAATACCAAGACCAATAGCTGATTCTGCACCAGCAATAGCAATGATATAGATGCTGTAAGTTTGACCAACAATATCATCGAAGCTAAATGAGCTCACAATCACAAGTAAAGTCACCGCTAATAACATCATTTCAATACTGATTAGCATTAAAATAATATTTTTACGGTTAAGCACAAAGCCTAAAACACCCACAAGAAATAACACTAGAGACAATGTCATTGCATCTTGTTAAGTTCCTATTGGTTTCCATTAATTATGTTTTCTTTCTCCATCTCTTAACATTCTTCTTTCTCTTTTTTGTATTCTAACAGAATAAAAACAAGTTTTTATTTATTTTTTTCTCTACTTTTTATTTTTAGTATTTGTTTTTTTTCTGGTATTTTCCTTTAGGAAAATAAGAGAAAAAAAAAAACAAATAAAAGAAAACCAAAAACAAAATAAGAGAAAAGGAAAACAAAGTAATGAAATAAAGAAAAATACTAAAATATTTATAAATCGAATAATTTATTCTTACCAAGATTTTTCATCTTAAATTGCTTTATGTTTTTTTTTATTTCTTTATTTTCTTCATCCTCTTCTTCAGTTTTTTGGTTTTACTTTCCTTTAGCAAAAGGAACTAAGTAATGAAAAAAAAGAAGAACCATAAATAAAGAACCAACAAGAAATTATTAATAAACGAGAACAACGGGACTCGAACCCGCATCGTCTTCAATGACACTGAAGAATTTGACCATTAAACTATGTCCTCTTTTAGTCCCTTCTGTTTCTTTTATTTTCCACTACTTTCCTTCTTCTTCTTATTCTTTTTTCATTACTTTGTCTTAGTTAAAAAACAAATAAAGGAAAATACCAAACAAATATAATAAAGCCAAAAAAAACAAATAACAAAAAGAAATTACGAAAACAAAGAGTACTTTTCTTTTTTCATTAACTTTGGTATTTTCCTTTAGGAAAATAAAAAAAAGAAGAAAGAAAGAATAGTGAATATTAACAAATTGGGCAGGTGTGACTCGAACACACGGTGGCCATAGCCAATTTATTTACAGTAAATCTCCTTAACCAACTAGGATAACTGCCCATTTACTATTATAATTTCCCTTGTTCCTTTGTTTTATCTTTCTCTTCTGTTTTTAGTTTCTCTTTTATTTTTGGTATTTATTTTTTTTTTAGTATTGCTAAAAGAAACCAAAAACAAAATAGGAAACTAAGACAAAGTAATGAAAAAGTAAAAAGACCAAATCGAAGTAAATAGAAAGAGAAAAGTACCTAGCACTTTTCATTATTGCCATAGGAAGGATTCGAACCTATCACTAACGAGATCTTCAGTCAAGTGCATTACCAACTATGCTACTATGGCTTCAATTATATCTTTTATTTATATTTATTAGTATATCTTTCTTTCATTTGTTCTTCATTTTTGTGGTTCCTTTATCGTTCTTCATCTTCCTTTTTTCATTACTTTGTATTTCTTAAAAGCCAACTAAAACCAAGAAAATAAAGGAAATAACAAAGTAGTATTTCATTTTATTTATAAATATCAAAGAGCTGGGGATAGTAATTTGTATATTATCCCAGCTCTCTTCCATTACTTTGTTTTTTTTTTTCTTTTCTTATTGGTTCTTAGTATTTATTTTTTCTTATTTATTTTTTTCTCTCTTATTTATTTTTGTTTTTTTTCTCTAGAGAAAAAAAAAAA